ACCGATTAGTCAGCGCCTATCTACCCCTGTGTATATTCCCCAGCAAAAAGCGACAAGAAAGCAAGCTCATGGCGCAGTCGTTAGAGCGTTGATCTTCTAACTTACAGGGCCGCGGGTTCGAACCCTGGGAGTTGCTACCCCTAGGGTTAGATATGAGTATCTGATGAAGGCTCATGAGCCAGAAATGCACAATATTTATTTGACTACATTTAAATACAAGGACTAGAGAGGGAGCAGCAAGCCGCATTAATAAAAAAAGAGACAAAAAAATATTTCGGCAACAAACTACTTAAATAGCGGCTGGTAACGCGCCTCGAGAGTGAGTCCGATGGCACAACAGGAGGAGTGAGTCCTGTACCCGATCGGTCAGCGCCTATCTGCCCCTGTGTATATTCCCCAGCAAAAAGCGAGCTCGTGGCGCAGTCTTTAGAGCATTAACCCATTACCTCCCATAATTTTAACCACTTTGATTTTGTTATGAAACTTGGATACCTATGGTTCCTCAAACTTGTATATAAATTAATTTAGAGCCAAATTTTTTAAAAATCTCATGTGGATATCAGAAAAATATACCTAATAGATATAGTATGAAGGTTAAATATGCGTTTATACAGACAGATAATTACGAAAGCTCTTAATTTTTAAGTGATCTCATATGAGATCACCGGGAAGTAATGGGTTAATCTTTTAAGGCCGCGGGTTCGAACCTCGGGGGTTGCTACCCCTGGGACTGTATATGAGTATCTGATGAAGGCTCATTAGCCAGAAATGCACAGAATTTCTCTGACTACATTTAAATATAATCCTTAAGAAAAGAGACAAGAAAATCTAGTATAGACTTGTTCAGTATTGCAGTAGGCATACATTGATCTGATTGGTTTTAAGGTGATAACTTCACTCTTTGTTGACAGGGGCCGAGAATAGAAGATCGTCTACTAAGTCACTGGGTCATCCAACTACAAGAAACTCGTTAGAATTTGAACAAGCTATAGCAAGGCAAGGGGTTTCGAGTATAGCCAAAGCTTTAGGCATCTAGGTTACGATATGCCACGGAGAACCGCGAGTCTAAGCACATCTGGGAACCACCAGTTTTGATAAAGTAAGCAGACTGCTCAAGTAGGATTTCTGAAGCAGTCAATTTAGAATTCAGAATGCGAACCAATGTGTTTTTTTGCAGACTAGCCCAATCCACCCGACCCAATTCTGTATCCGAGTCCGAACCCCACTCAGTTTTGTTTTCAAAACGAGGCCAAACACACGTAGATGATATAGAAAATTGGGCCGAAAGAGACAGTGCACACTTAGATAGCAACTGGTCTGAGGTCCAGTTAGTTGAGTTTTCAGCCAGTAAAACCACAACCCGACAAAGTCAACTGAACCGGGACAACTCGATAAGACGGCACACAGTAGAATAGTGCTCAGCATGCTCAGCGTGTTGGGTTCCTCACCACACACTCTTCACAATACGATAAACGTCAAGTGATATAAGACTAAATTAAAAATGAGATTGAATAACCCTGACAATTGGCAAATTTCCTAGTCACCGATCTGCAGGTGAATGCTAAATCAAGTAGCTCGACGGGATTGACAACATTAATGAGATATCGGGCTGATTTCTCCGAAAGAATGCGCTCTTCTATTTTAAAGACAGATACTGTTTTGAAGGCACAATCGCACCAAAGAACCATTTTGCTTTATTTTCGCAGAGGAACATTCGTCAGAGGAGTGCTTTACAGGCATATACGGTGCATTTCCCGCGTTATATTTAATAGGCAGCTGAATGTTAAAATGTCAGCCGAACCTCCCCTCCCCTTCGAGGTGACACTGTATTATTTATAAATATACTACTACCCTGATTTCAGTAAGTCATTTTATGTACACGAAATTTGTCATTCTGCTGAACATTCCGAGTGCAAATGTTATGTGCGACGTTGTGGCAACTTTTCAGCCCCTTTTTAGAATTCCTGCTTCAGTATCAGTCTTATACGTTAATTGCGCATACTTAAATTGCCTGCAAAATATTCAGAACTCGACTGCCCTTCATACAGACTTGTGCCGCTTAAAAAGTTTTCAAGGACTTCCGTCACTTACTCCAAATACAGCGATTGACTGACCCAAGACAGCCATATAGGATGTACAACGGAGATATAAGAAGAAAAAAGGTAAAGGCGGCTAGAGAAGTGAATTCCTAGAAAATTGAGGCGAAAAAATCCAACCAAAGAAAGAACGAAACTTACAGAGAGGGAGTGGAAGGAAGGATCATAGGGAAAGTTCGCTGCCGACGTCGGCACGGTGGAAGAGACGACCCCAAAATTGCTAGGAGCGCCATTACTGTCGCCACTACCCCCACCGTTACTGTTGCCACTGACGGTGGTGAAGGGTGGGTAGATGCGATCCATGTAGAAGTGGCGAGGATCGGAAGAGGAACCGCTGCAGACAACGCTGCCCCCACTACCGCCAACACCATTGCCACCGCGGCTGCCAGACTGGGCGGCCATATTGGATGAGGCGCTGTGTGAGTAGAGATCGGCGTGGTTCGCAAGGCCACTGTTGGTGAGGAAATCGGCGCTAGCAGCGCCTGGTCCAACCGGTTGGAGACCGTTCAGTCGGAGGTTGCTGGAAAGGGGCAGGGAGGGCGCGAAGAAGATACCACCGCCACCTGGGCCTCCGGTAAGACCTGCGGGGAGAAGAAAAAAGT